AAGAGATGAAACCAAGAAGTACTTTGTAACTGCAGGAAGCTCTAATCCACATGTGGCATCATGAACTCAATCCTGCCTACATTACATCCCTTGTGCACTATATGCCATAGTAATGTCAAGCAGTTATCAAAGCCAGAGGAGGGCACAACAAAATATTAAAACAAGGAACAGACTCTGTGATCACTTTTGTCAATTACATTAGTGGCATTATCCTTAAATCTAGGTTTTCTTGAAGAACATTTTCATATTTGCTGTAATATGTTTGTCATGGATGGTTTGTTAATAAAGATGCATATATGGTTTGGATGACTGAAATACGAGTCAGTTTATACCATACAATGTCCATAACTGTTTTGCACTAGTTCCGACACTTCCACAATGCACAATCTCATAAAAAAATTACAGAACCATGAAAAGTGAAAAAAAAAAAAATTGGGTGATGCAATAATGTTTCCACCACTGTATGTTGTTTTGTTCAAAGACATTAATTTCACCCACCTTTAATTATGTATCCACTATTATTACTTTTGAAACTAAGTTTTTAAGAGCACTATAATTTATGGGGTAGCTCTACATTTAGATTACTAAAAACTTTTATTATTTTGTGAGTTACCTGGTAGGTCAACAGTAAGTTGACAGACTTCCAACACTAAAAATCTGGGATCAGATTCCCCACAGTAGACATATTATGTGGCTTTCAGCTAAAACAAATTTTAGTTATCTTATGTTGTAACTATAAGTATGAAATTTTGTATGCCAAGATTTTGTCTTAAATATTCTAATTTTGTAATATTCCTGACTAATTAGATGTATCTTAATGTATTTTATTTCATATTTAGCAACTTTCAGTGATTATATTTTATTTGAAACTGAGCATTTTTCTTGAATTTTTAATATCAGGTTAGTGTGTTTTGATTTTTCTGTTGTAATTTTCATAGTATTGTTTTAATCCAGATTTTTATTATTGTAGTATGCTTTTCATTTTTTATTTGTATTGTAAAACTAATATCTTTCTGTTATCATTATCACATTGCATATGGGAGAGGACTACCTTAGTTTATACCTATAGTTTAAAAAGTTTGATTTGCCTACTTAAAATTGAGTCATTGAATAACTCTGCAGATAAAGACATGGCCTGGTGGTTAGGGCACTTGACTCACAATCTGAGTCATGGGTTTGAATCCCATCCTTGTAAATGCTCACCCTTTCAGCCATGGCAGTGTTTATAATGTGACAGTCAATTCCACTATTCCTTGCTAAAAAGTGGCACAAGAGTTGGCAGCAGGTGGTGTTGACTAGCTGCCTTCCCTCTAGTCTATCACTTCAAAATTATGGACAGCTAGCCCTAGAGTTACTTTGCACAATATTCAAAACAAACAAACAAAGCAGATAAAGAAAGATATGTATGATTTAGTATCATCATATTTCATCCTTCTATTTTAAGGAAGTTATATTCAGGTGGTTTTCTTAAATATTTGTGCAGGTGTTTTGCATGTAACTGAATTTTCATTCATAAGTCTTAAACTAGCATTTCTGTGTATTACTTTCTGAAAATGTAGTCCATTGACAGGTGATACAAATACCTGTACAAACTGGTTTGGGTTGGCTCGAATTGTGTATGTAGAATAGTGGTTTAAGTATGTAACCTAAGGGATTGTAGAACACCATAATAGAGCATCAGTCCAACTATAAGTGGGAAATCCACAAAATTCTTCTCTTAACTTTTGCTCCATTGTTACATTCTTGTTCTAGTCTCACCTCCAGCCTCAGCAGCCTGTTTCACTCATAACAAAAATAGAAGCCAGCTAGTTGGTAATAAATGCTATTGTGTAAAAGATATCCTTTTATTTGTTTACTTGTATATTTATTTTTCTTTTCTGTCCACATCTGAAAGTATTATTTTGCATAACATTTCCAAAACATATGTTTTGTCAGATGCTTGATTAATCTATTATTAGAGACCAGCAAACTTGCATACCACACAGGTAAAGACATACTGCATTGTAAAAAAAGAAAAATACATAAAAGAATTTTATCCATTCTTAAAGTTGTAATGTGATTCCAAGTATGGCTTATACAACTGCAGGTTATAGTTTATGAGGGTCAACATTTCATTTAGAGTATTTATGAAGTCTCACAACACCACTGGTTACAGATTTCCTCAGATGCTTAAATGACAATTAGTATAAGATATGACATAAAAGGAAAACTTTTCTATACAACCTGCTCTCACTTTTTTTTTTGTTATAGCTAATGCATTGTGAAAAATAACATAAAAGAATTATAATTTGTGAAAAGTTGGTCATAATAATGCACTATTCTGAACCTAAGGAAATTATTTTAAGATTAAAAGATCGAAATTCATTCAAATGGCATAAATGTTGTACAATGTTTTCATTTCCAGGATAATTCCAAAGTTTTCAAAGAAGAGAAAGACAGAGGAAACAAACAAAGAAGAGAATAAAGAATGTAATGTGAGCTGTGAAAATGTTAAAGACACCACAGTTATAGAAGAGCTCAAAAGTGAAAGTAATGAGTACCTCCACAGTCTACGAACAAAAATTGATAATATTTCTCCTTCAACTTGTTTTATCACAGAAAATACAAATAAGTCTGTAGATGAAAATATGAAGACTGTTTCCTTCAGACAGCCTAAAAACTCCCTTTACAGTGTCAAAAAAGTGGGAACACAAGAAACTAATAATGATATTAATCACTTGCCTGTAAAAAACACTTGCCAAGGTATAACAGAATACTTATCATATAGCAGTGGTACTGTAAAGATTAAAGCTGATAATACTGAGAGCTCAGTTTTTCCCAGCCTCAACAAAACAGAAAATCTAATTCCTGAGCAGATTTTCCATTATAAAAATAATGCCCAAGCAATGGGCATTACACATAAAAGTGATATGCCCTATACTCAGAGTTTGAAATCTGACAATGAAGCTCTATCAACTGATAACTGTGATGAGGAAAGCATACACAAGACAAAAGTTATCGAAGAAGAGGTATCAAATCTCAGAACAAACGAAATAACAGAGGTTGGAGACATAGATTTAGCAGCTGTACTGGATACAAAAAATGAAGTTATTTATACAAAATCAAATGATTCAGACTCCATAAACATGTTTAAAATGGGGAATAATCTAAACAATACTGAAAGTAATTCAGGTGTATCAAGTGTTAGTGAATGTACAAAACAACAGATAAAAAGTGACAATTTTACCAAAGAACTTGAAAAAACATGTACTAAACCAAATACAATATTTAGTGTTTCAAACTGCATGAAACTTAAAGAAACCACAACAATCACTTCACAGAAATCCATAAATATTAATGAAGATGAAACAACAAAAATTACAGATCCACTAGTAGTATCTAGCCACTGTCAGAATACTGTTCTAAATGTTGGGTGTTCTATAGATCCTACAGTCTACAAGCAGAAGAAAGGGGTTTCAGGTAATATGGAAAGTTAATTGTTCATATCAATGATATCATTTTAAGTGTTTTTGATAGTACTTTACAGAACCTTGAAAGCATTAACTAAAAAAATATTTTAAAAAGTTTGCTTTTTTTAATAGTTTTTTAATGGACATGTTTTATTAACAAACTGTCAAGTAAATTAGTTTTTATCTGTGTCTTCAAATGTGCAATAATGTTAGGTTAGTAGACAAGCTAAACTTAAAGCTAAATAGCTACTGTAGAACAATATAACCACTTTAAATAGCTAACTTTTACTAATCTGTTTATTTTTATATAACAGTATATTTAGTACTTTTATCTCTTCTAGTTCCTTCACCAACTGAAGCAAGTGAATTTCTTGATCTAGAATATTTTGGAATAACATCCGAGCTTAACCAGATGGACCAAGAAACTAAAGTGGTATTAGTTAACAATAATCAAGAATTTATTCCACCTCTGGTTGCTTCCTGTCATATTCAAGGTCAACAACATGAACCAGTTGGAAGAGATATCGCTATGCATCATGGAGAATCCCTTGCTCTGAGCATCATCAGTGAATTAAATGCCTTAAGGTAAGTGTAATATTAATGTTATATTACAGTACTGTGCTGAATATTTTGTTATAAATGTTAAAAATTTGTTTTAAATTTAATAAACAAGCAAAAAATGTAAGTAAACAGATTTTATTTTGTAATCTCAATTTTATATTTATAATATTGATTTTAAGTACTTTGTATCTGTACAGTAAACTAATTTTAGCTGAGAAGGTGCTAAAACAAGTACCACCAATCTTATTCAAGCCTTTTATAGATTCATATTTAACTGCATTCTCAATTTTAAAAAGCCTCTAAATTTCCCCAACTCTAATAACATTTTTTCAACTTGTATATACTTCCTTGCGGTTTAGTGACAAACTTCAGGGCTTATAATTTTAAAATTCATGATTTAGTTTAATACCTATACTGTAGTTTGTGTCAAGATAGCTGAAACTCACACATCTGGGCCTGTTATGGCGTTCTGGCAAATCAAATAAAACACAAACAGCCGAATCCAATTAGAACTGATAATCTTTAAGAGAATTTGAAGTAACTATGGCTAGACCACATGTAAAAAAAGAATTACTAACAAATACTGCTTTAATTAAATTCTTAGTTATACAATAAATTTTGTTTTGAATATTTTTTTTTTTTTTCAGTCAGACAGTAAACAGAATTCAAAATGAGATGGAGCATATAAAAAAAAGTGTGCCATTATCTCAATCTCTCTGTAACAAGGGTAAAGGAAGATTAAATTGGTAGTAATGTGGTCTTAAATTATAACTTTTTACTTTCAATAAAAATAAACTTTACTGACAGAAGATGCTGTCATAGCTTTGAAACATATTTTTGTGTTAGTTGGTGAAACACAAGTCAGCACAAAACCACTCATGTTATTTGATATAAAGATATAAATGTGTATCTGTCAAACATAATTTAATTTTGAAATGTCAAAATTTGTTTAACAGTTCTAGTATATTAAATACATATATATTTATTCAATTCTAGTTACAAACAGTGATGTATTTATTTATCAAATAATTGTTTCTGTACAACTTTCAATAAAAACATTTCTGGTGTTATAAATATACATATGTATATATATCCATCTTGAGTCTTGCATGTCTTATGGTTCACATTGGTCCTCTTGGAAAGGTTTTCACAGCAAATCAAAATCATCTCTCTAAAGAAAAGATTGTAATAATTATGAGGACAGGAAAAACTATATATATTAAGCACAATTCATAAAATTTATATTTTTTTTATACCATTTCTTGTTGACACATCCTTCTTTCAGAGGTTTATAGTATATGTTCTTAAAAGCATGAAATACAAAACAATGATATCACAATATGACATCTATGGACCAAATAGTATGTGCTTGACTAAAGCCTTACAAATGTCTAACCTAAGTTTACATATAAGATAGCCATGAGATATTTCAAAATTGTTTGAATGAAAGCCCTAAGTTTTAATTACTTAAGCAACATCTGTTTCTCTACATTATATAAAAATTAACTAAATCGTTTTTACATTCTTATTTTTCATACTATTCAGGGATCCAAATATTACATTCCCAAGGATTTTAACTTTGCTTGAGGAATTTCATCTTTTTAGTTGGCTTTACTGATCGGAAATGCATGGTCCATGCATATTCTTTAGTTATGACCAATGAAAATGAACATATTGCATGGATTAAATAAAAAAAGAATTCATGAGTAAATGCAACATGAGGGAATGTAATCTTCCTGAAGGTAATTTTATTTCATTATTTCTATCCCTGCTATTTTATGTTGACATGTTCTTTCAGTTTTATAAAATACATATTTAAAGGCAAAAAAGAATGCAACAATGATACCACAAAATGACATACATGGACAAGATAGCATGTGCCTGACTAAATACTTAGAAGCATACAACCTAAGTTAACATATGTACATATATTTATATATATGAGGTTTTATTAAAACTGTGTTAAAAGAAAATTAATCATCCAAGCATCATGACAGTCAATTTTATATACTGTCACTTAAATAGTAATAAAAAAAAATTGGATAAAGATGGTTAGGTTGCACTTAACATAGATACCGCATTTGATTTTATATGATGAAAAACATGTTACTTGTAAATACACTTTATTAAGTAAAATTATAAACTTCCAAAAAAAATTTACTGAAGGCTATAAAACAAATATTATATCCAAATCTAGATAGTACTGATTCAAAAAGAATAAAAGACAACATTCTTGTTAAAATTTACACTTTTATTAGGATTCAATATCAACAATTTATTTTCCTTTCCATTATAAAAATTGAAAGTATTATCAGTTTTTACAGTAGATTTTAAATCAGACATTATTGTGTCTTAATTAATTTCTTATTACATATATTTCTCCTATACAAAGTTAATTACTTAAGTACTTGAAAAAAAATCTACTTATTTTAGTTAAAAACAGATTATAAAGCACCTAAAGATAAAAGGTATCATGATAATTCATAAAATAATTTTTTATTTTTGAATAAAAAAGTAGATTATTATTACTACTATAGATTTATAATTTTGTTTCCTTGTTAGAGGCTGTAAAGTTGAAACTTATATCCAAACATTTTATTATACAGGGCATGATTACAGCATAAATTAAATTGGCAAAGCACAAAAAATAAATGTTTGATTTGCTTTAAGTAGAAGCATCTTCATCAGTTTACATGTATGAATCGATAACATATTACCTACTTTATTTCTAACTTAATTTCTCAAAAGCTTGAATTTAAAAGAAGTAAAAATCAAAATAACTCTTAATTTTGTACACAGATTTGTGGAACTCTCTTCCATTTATTTCCTTATGCCAGTTAGATTGATCATGCGACATGTAAGGTAAGGCCTGTGCTTTATAAATTCAGGGGTTTAATCATATCATAGTTAGTTTGCTAGACAGTGGATAGGAGCAATGATCTCTTTTCCAAAAGAACTTGATAACTGGTGATTTTCAAGCATGAAAAGTGTAGTCATCATCAAAAAATCTGCCACAATGGTCTGTTGTTGGCAGTAATTAGAAGAGAATACACCTGCCACCAAAAAAAAAAATACGGATGCTAAACTTTGGTGACTATCAAGAAAAAACATGACTGAACAGGATCATAAAGCATAAAAGACTCAGGCTCTATTAAATATTGATTGATTCCTTTACCAGTGATCAAAATGTAGCTCCTTCAAATCATACTATGTGAAATACATTATCAAAAATGTCATATATTTGCCAACAACTAGTCTGAAAGCTGCTTATAAGAAATTCAAACAGAAAAGCATGGTGTCAGTGGTGCTTACAGTATAAACAATGGTTAACAAGTGACTACCAATATGTGATGTGGTGTTATTCTTCATGTTTACCCATTTTGGTAATAAAATAGAGTAAAAAATATAAAACAAATCAATGACATTTGACTCTGCTTGTGTTGTTGCAACAATGCAAGTTGCTGGAGATAATTTAATGGTTGGGAGAAGATTTTTGTGGCAGAAAGATATATATATATATATTATTCCTTTAGAAGAGCAAACAACATCTGGCTGCATTTCCACTTTGATGGATGAAGGCTCTTCCATGACAAAAATACAACAATCTATTATGCTGGTACTGTTCAAAATTGGGTCAAAGTGACCAAATCACATCTTCCTCAACTAACACAATCATCAGATCTCTATGTAAATGAGCATCTTTATGATAAATTTGAATTATGCACTCACCACCATACACCTCTACCAATATTTGTAACCTAATTGCAAAACATAATCTTTGGTGGATGGTGTAAAATTTAGCAATATAACTTCAGGCATTGTATGAAGTCTACACCATACTGAATTCAGGCTATGATCATGGAAAAAAAAGTATTTCAAGCAAATATTAAGAGGAAATCTGAATTAAGAATCATTTATGTTAAAGTATAAAATTGTTATAATAAGACTTGTGTTACCCATAATACCCAAGACTATAGATGGACTCTTTACCAATTTTTCTGTTAACACAGTTTATCAGAAAATATCAAAAGGTTAAATTACACTTATTAATAAAACTTGTTACTTACCATTTCATTATACTGAAGTACATGTTTTCTAATGGCTGATGTATCAACCCACGTAACAAAGTCTTCAAGAGTTCTATTAACTAAGAATGCTGGATCAGTAACCACCTCAGGACCAACACGAACATCTGGAAAGTGGTTAAGTTACATATTCTTTTCATGGATAATTTCACCTACAAAGTCTAACAAAAGATCTATTAATCTAAGTAAGAACTTACAATAATGTTCATTTTCATACATAAAGCCTATAAAAGAAATCAAAACTTTAGCCACCAGTTGTGTTTCAAATAATGAAAAAAATATTTTTTCAGGGTGATGCAACTGCAAGTAACTGACCATGTACTGTGAACTTAAGCAAAGTGTGGTTCATATAAGTATTATTAATTCATTTCCTTTATTTTTGTACTTTATTATTTAAGTACTTACAACATCAGCATCAAAGATCATAGGATATTTTCAACATGTAAATTTATATTTTTCAAGAAGGAAAACCTAAAAGGAAGTATGAAATCCTTTTATGTTTTCAGACACCAGAACTTCAATCCTCACTTGCTTTGTTTGTTTGTAATTAAGCACAAAGCTACACAATGGGCTATCTGTGCTCTGCCCACCACGGGTATCAAAACCCAGGATTCTAGCGTTGTAAGTCCGCAGACATACCGCTGTGCTACTGGGGGGCACCCTCACTTGCAACTGCATTTTAAGACAGGTTCTCATACCCTCTAGAAACATAAGGATAAAAATGTACCATAGTTTTTTAAGCTTTCATTTTAAAGGATACGGCCTTGTTCTATAAATTGAGTTGCAGTTTTCAAGTTTTCAGCCATGTGGTTTCGAACCATTAATACAGGAAGCCGCCTTCTGTAAGAAAAAAGTAAATTAAATCAATTCACTGTTGCCCTTTGGTCTCTATATAACTTAATTCACACTATAATAGTCTATAATATAAAATTAATATTACAGAATAGCTTCCTCTGATTCGATTATAAAAATTTTAATGAATAAAACTTAAGTATTAAAATTTATTTTCTGTGCATATATTCATTTTATTCATATTTATGATAAAGTAAAAAAAACATAAAGCTTGCTTTAAGTTTCTCTAAGACAACTGCTTTTGTAACTTGTAATTCTGATACACTCTATTAAAACTACTTAAAAATGTGATGACTCAAATAAAAAGCATCCTATTGGTTGCACTTGTATAATTAGTATCTTATCATAGTTATTAATTAATAAATATGATAACGTTTGCTGCCCTAAAACAAAAATAGTGTCTTATATTTTATAGATGATTTATACAGAGTATTCATGATGAATGAACACAGGTGAAACAGGCAGCAACTGCCAAATTCAGATTGAAAATTGTAGAAAAAGTCTTGAAGGACTAATCTTCAAAAGTAGCTTAGTTCAAAAGGACAGTACCTCTAAAGATTTCTGTTTTTCATCATCAGGATCTAAGCTACTTTCTCTACAAGTATCACTTTGAACTAGGTGGTTGCTTACCATTTCAAAATTTTTCAGTATTTTATCTGTTTGAATTTTTTTTGCTAAAAAAAAGGAATTTTCATTGGGTTAAATACTTGAACTTTTGATTATACATAAAGTCAATGAAAAGAAAAACACAATCAGGTTATTTATTTATATATTTGTATCTTATTATTTATTAGAAAATTTAATCATGATAATTTATTAAACTTACAAATATAACCATATTTAGTCTTCTGCAGGATAACCCTACAATAACTGGTTTAATTATTAACATACTACTCTTTGCCAACCAATAACAACTATGTAATTACAATTTTAATCATCTTCTCACCACTGCTTATAAATTTAGTGAAGATTAACCAGTTTATCTTAGTTATTTATTATACACAACTAAGCAACACAATATAATCCCTTTCTTTAATTATCTAACCACTGGCTATAATCTTCCTCATTAAAATTTCTTTCTTGATCATCAACAAAATACTGCTGCAAAAAAAGGTTATTTACTAGCAAACGACATCAAACTGAATAACATCAACTACTCAAACACTCAATGTTAATAAAGAATAATTACACAATAGTTTGGATAATATGAATCACCTCCTTTAGGAATAGTAAACAAAAACAAAATTGATCTTTGTCATGTACTATAAACACCATATATAATCTTGAAATATTACCAACTACATACAATAAATATAAAATTTTCCATCGAAAAAATGTATTTCGGTATTTAATAATGGCTACTACTCATATCTATGCTAGCAAATTGTAATTTTCTTATTATGATCAATAACGAACACGCATATATCTTTGGAAGTATTTTATCTGTCAAACGACAACTGTACTGAAACCTTCATCAAGTATGACCGAACAAAATATTATGTAAAACATTTTTCTTTTTCTGTTACTAAGAAAATATTGTGGTTGTTGTCGATGTCTGACCTTACGAACATTAAATTATCTACTTACCTACAAAAAGATGATGCTGTGACTTTATCGGCTATACCAAGGTTTTCTTTAATGGAAATCAATCCCATCGTGTACCTATTAGTTCATAAAATATATTTTGAAAAATTATGCCCCAAATTTAAAACCGCCAGCAACTGTTTGTACAATAGAAAAACTAAACAATCCAACGAATTAAGTTAAAAACAAATACTTAAACTAGATGACGAGAAATGCACTTTGAGACTAATAATGCTTGGAGACGGCTTGAATGGGTAATGAAGAAAAACTTTAATATAAGTTTAACATAACAGCAAATGTACAACGTTTCGACAAGGTTTTGTCATCATCAGGTACCCATTCAAGCCGTCTCCAAGCGTTATTAAATACTCAAACTATCAACAGATGGCGCTAATACAATACACATTTGCACAATTGACCTATTGATGTGAATGTACAAAAGTACAAGCTAATGTGCTAGAAACGAAAATAAATTTTTCACAGCATTATTAATAGATTATCTTTACATTCTGCTTACTTAGGTTGATCAATTGAGAACAATCACATTAGGTAACCACATATTTACTTGTCATAAGACGTCCGTATCTGTCCTATTATATTTGAAAACACTGTATTCTTTATCCAGTCTGTTAGGGATTTTCAAGAATTAGAATGGTGTATTATAATAACATTCCAACCACACTATATTCGCCGTATCCATCTGCCAACGACGCGTTTCGCACAACCCAGTGTTCCTCAGGCCAGCCAGGATACAACGAACACAGTAGTTGTCGGAATATTATTTAAATTGTTACATTTGTATGTGAACACCATTTATAAGCTGGCGAAGCATGCTTATAGTTATATTTGTAATAAGACAGTAATAACGAGCCTAACAAGTGTTCCGACACTACTGTATTCGTCGTATGCCAGCTGGCCTGAAAAGTTGAAATGCTGTTATCATATACTATTCTAATTCTTGAAATTCCCTAAAAGATTACATAAATATTGTAGTGTTTTAAAATATAATAGGCCTAATACTAGTGTTATTATGAGAAGTATAATGATAATTATGCGTCTCTAGCTTCTAAAATCGTTCACAACATCAAATATTTACCTTTTAGATCTCAGCTGATATACTTTGGCAATAATATCGTTTTGAAATAAATTATTTTTATCAACTCTTGCTCTGTTGGTGTTTAAAGCTTATTTCAACTTAAAAAGCTTAAATGAACATTTATACAAACAAGACCACTGCAGCGTGAAAGAAGTATTTAAGCCAAACCATGAATGAAAAAATGGATGCCTTTTCTTCATAACTTCAAGTTTGATATATTTCACTTAAAAAATTTAAATTAACACACAGTCTATATTGCAGGTTCATAATAACATTTGGTATTACCGTATTTTTCGGCGTATAAGACGCACTTTTTTACCCCAAAATTTGATGTTAAAATCTGCTTGTGTCCTATACACCGAAGGTATGAATAATATATATTTATATATACGGATATACACAAGCCATGTGTAAATATATTTAAATAGGCATGCATAGTTTAGTTCAATTGAATGTGTTATTTATAACAATATAGTTTTTTTCT